TCGTTAACGATATAGACAACACGTTATCCATGAAAGACCACACATATATCTAATCAGTTACCCTGTTGAAACCGACTGGCAATTTGATCAAATTTTATTTATTTCGTTGCTACAGAATTTCTGCATAAGTTCTTGTATAAACGATTTATGTTTACGTGTAATATTTGATTGCTTTTAAAATGATCAGTCTACGTACTGGGATTGATTAAAAAAATAGCCGATTTTAAAGAATTGTTTACTAATTATCAGAAATTATCTGGTTATCAAAAAAATCGTTTACAGTATTGAATATTAACAAAAAATGTTGGATTTGGCTGAAAACTCGGTGAAGGTTACAATACAACTAGCAAATATACAGTGCTTTAGAACTTATCAGCTCATATTCTATCAAATGAAACTTAGTTATAGGTTAAGATGAGTGGAATAAAACTTTAAAAAATTTGGAGTACTTTAACGGATTCACTTTGTTTCTCTAGAAAACAATGGAAAAACTCCCAGCGTTTCGTTCACCTTTCACATTGCTATGCAGTTGTTCCGGAGTTAGCACAGTAGTGTACAGTGCTTTATAACTTATCAAATGAAAGTTAGTTATAATTTAAGATGAGTGGAATAAAACTTTAAAATATTTGGAGTACTTTAACGGGCTCACTTTGTTTCTCTAGAAAACAATGGAAAAACTCCCAGCGTTTCGTTCACCTTTCACATTGCTATGCAGTTGTTCCGGAGTTAGCACAGTAGTGTATAGTGCTTTAATAAATGCGTTTAACCGAATGAAACGTTGAGAGAAAAACAAAAACAAAAACAACCAACGTCCAATATATCTACAGTTAACTCTTCGATTTTTTAAATCGAATTTTTTTCATTAGTTGCTCGTGCGTGAGTATTTAGGCAGTTTACAGCTGACTTATCCTTCCAAAAACATCTTAAACTTCAAATTAAACGAACCCTGTTTTAGATGAAACTTAGGTGTTGTTTTTTTTTTTTTTTTTGCTTAGAAATGGTTTTTTTTATTGGATTTTCTACAAAATAAAATTTCACTCTCTTTTAGATTGAAGCGTGATCTGAAATGAAACTTTTTTTTCCGTATCTTCTTCTCTCTTATTGTAACTGCACCACGCCTACTTTGATAATATACTAAAAAGTTTATCTTGATAAACTGACAATTACACCATGGCAACTGAAGGTTTATCATAACTAGTTCTGAAAACGCTACGTTATGGTCGTCTTTTGACTTTTAAGACGTGTCTTATAATGTAACACGATTTATTCAATGTTGGTAAAAAATTAAAAACTTGTATTTTTGATTCGAAATATTAATATACATTCCTTATGGAAATGAGACGAAGTTACGTCAGGTTAAAAACAGATTCACCAGAGTGTTCTTGTACTATATGTATTTCGTCATTTCCGGTCTAAAAGAATCTTCAGAATGTTTGGGGACGAACGTGAGAAATATATTGTTAATAATTAAAAATACATTTTTATCAGTTACAATTTTTTTGTTGTTACAAGATATTAAAAGTCACTTCGTATATAGTAACGTAAGTGTGGAAACCCGTATGAAAATATAACCATTAAGCCGTTTTTACGTGATTTGTGATGAGGAACAATTACATTCAGTAATGAACCGTCAATTTTAACGAAAGTATCCATAGAAACTGAGATACTGCCTCAGAAAGGTGGGGAATCTACTTTTCTTTACTATATAATATACAGCGAAATGAGATTTAACTGAAAGAAATACGAGTTTATTAAACAAAGGGGCAGAAATAAACCTTGAAGAATCCTCAGGCAACTAATAAAATACACAGACATTTACAAAAGGTTCAAGACGATCGTATACTCTGTCTCTCTCTTCCCAATTACTAGCTTGATAGCCTGGAGGAATTCTCAACTTCGAGGCCATACATTGTCCGAACCTAAAAATTTAGAAACAAAGATAAAACGAAACAATAAAATCGAACGTCTACGTATATTACCCAATTAATCTAACTTGTGACATCAAAGGTTGATCAAACGTCTACGTATAATTACCTAGTTAACCTAACTTGTGACATCAAAGGTTGATCAAACGTCTACGTATAATTACCCAGTTAACCTAACTTGTGACATTAAAGGTTGATCAAACGTCTACGTATATTACCCAATTAACCTAACTTGTGACATCAAAGGTTGATCGAACGTCTATGTATAATTAACCTAACTCGTGACATCAAAGGTTGATCGAACGTCTACGTATAATTACCCAGTTAACCTAACTTGTGACATTAAAGGTTGATCAAACGTCTACGTATAATAACCCAGTTAACCCAACTCGTGACATCAAAGGTTTGTATATGCTTTTCTTTCGCTTGATTTTTTTTTTTTTACATTTTATAAGATAAGTGGGCTAAACGTCCAGGTCAGGGAGCCCAAGATCCAGGCGTAGCCATCCCGATTTTAGACTTCTCACTAGAGTGAAGGCAACAAGTCACCAACACCCACCGCCTACATAGCTACTCTTAACCAAATAGTGGGATTGACTGTCTCGAGTATAACACTTCTATAGCTGAAAGTGCAGAGCATATTTAGTTAGTGACACATCGTGGTTCAAACCTTGGACTTTCTGCTACGTCCGACTTCTATATCATCTGTATTTATTCTAACTATTGTAATTCTGTATCAGCTGACTTGTTCAAAGCGTTAGGCTTTTTCCTAGATATTGTGGAATTGTTATATTTTTTTAAAGATCGAATACCTTCTGATACAGTTTTAATTTGGAATATAGCTAACAACTGTATTATAGCTATATATAAAGCTGCTTCCACAGAAGCAATTTGGAATAATACCGATTTTCATATCAACTACCTTAACTCACAAAAGTATTAAACTAGAAATTCATGCATGTTTTATAAATGTTTTTGTTTTGTGTGTGTGTGTGTGGTAAATTTCCTCATCAGTTACCAACGTAAATACACGCTACTTCTGATCTAATAGACAAAAAAAAAGCATTTTCAGACTCTCTATTTCCGTACATAAATTAGTAAGGTTTAAACCTAAAATTTTGGAGACTGAATTTTAGACCAAGAGGTAAAAAATTTAAATAAAATACCACATCGTGGTTAATACTTAATGCCTCATGGCCAGGTGGTTAGGACGCTCGACTCGCAATCTGAGGGTCGCGGGTTCTAATCCCCGTTACACCAAACATGCTCGCCCTTTCAGCCGTGGGGGCGTTATAATGTGACGGTCTATCCCACTATGCGTTGATAAAAGAGTAGCCCAAGAGTTGGGGGTGGGTGGTGATGACTAGTTGCCTTCCCCCTAGTCTTACACTGCTAAATTAGGGACGGCTAACGCAGACAGCCCTCGTGTAGCTTTGCGCGAGATTCAAAACAAACAAACAAACTTAATGCCTTATTTACTTAGCACAAAGTTGTAAGTGTGCTGTGACAGTTCGAACGTCATAAGTTCAGAAGCTTACCGCTGAGTCACCGAAAGACATTTTTTTTTATTAGCTACTAAGTTTTTTTTAGTATCTAAGACTATATAAAAATACAACAATTTATTGAATCTGACGTTTAGAGAATAATCATATTATATATATATATATATATTAATGTTTGTGTAAAATAATACCCACCTTAAGCTTGAGGAGGAGCAACGATTTGGATACCACAAATCTGAAAAATAGTTGAATTTATATTCATATAAAAAGTAACTGAACATCGATTACAATACAAAACTACACACCATGTAACGTACAAAAAACATGCTATATGAATGACTGATTTTTAATATATCTGTACATACCGTGGAGATGTTCTGATCCATACAGGCCTGGTAGAGTTTGACCTACGGTAAAATAGAATCAGCTTCGTTTAGAACACAACAGCAAATTGTTTCCGAGTAGAGTGAAAATTTGACTTCATGGACATTTCAAGATTGTATAGCAACGTTAAAACAGTAACCAGAAAATTGGAAATAAAAACAGAAATATTTAACTTCAACTTAACGTTCTGTAGTTTTAGTTTAGAACCTAAATCTAATAAGATATATATATATGTTTAGATCCGAAGTAAATTGCTTTCTGTAGGTTTTCTTGACAATCTAATAATTGATAAATAATTTATCATTTCACTAAATTCCTGTAAGAAGTAATAAATCAATGAGTTAAGTATTGCTGTAACATTTCGTTGTAAATTTATTTAAGAAAATAATCTATGAAAAATCATGGGCTTCGCCAGGATATTCTTTGTCTTTTTCTGTTCGTTGTGCATTCATCTTGGACATGTATATATATTACACAAGTAAAACTTCATGTATACACATATATATATATATATTACACAAGTAAAACTACATGTATACATATATATATATATTACACAAGTAAAACTACATGTGTACACATATATATATATATATTACACAAGTAAAACTACATGTATACACATATATATATATTACACAAGTAAAACTACATGTATACACATATATATATATTACACAAGTAAAACTACATGTATACACATATATATATATTACACAAGTAAAACTACATGTATACACATATATATATATATTACACAAGTAAAACTACATGTATACATATATATATATTACACAAGTAAAACTACACGTTATTTAGAGAACTAAATATGGAACAAGCTACGTTGACATAAATATTCATGCAAGTTTAAAAAATAAACTGGATATTATCTGTTTATCACTTAACTGAACTTTATGTGTATGTCCTAGGTTATTTATATTTAATAACTATTTTTCACCTTATTTTATTATATAAGGTGGACACACTGTCAGTATTGTAAGAAGGAGTTACAATGTGGGGGTACTTAGCTAGTCATTACCAGTAGTGTAGGAAGGAGTTGCAATGTGGGGGTACTTAGCTAGTTGTTACCAGTAGTTTAGGAAGGAGTTACAAAATGGGGGTACTTAGCTAGTCATTACCAATAGTGTAGGAAGGAGTTTCGACGCCACCGATTACACATCACACAGTACTGTGAGAGAAGGAGAGAGAGCCTGTGGATACAATCCAAAATGTCTTAAATGATGTCGTTGTCATATAGAAGCAGATTTCAACTAGTAACTGCAATGTATATGTTGTCCAAAGAGCGGAAGTGACGTACGAAACAACTGTTGTTTTTTTCCCTAGAATTTCTCGTTTATCAAAATTCTCAGAAGCTACGTACTGATTTAGTAACATAATTAAAACTTACCTGAGAAATAAAATCGTCAGCGAATCTTTCCTCCTAAAATCGAAAGAAAAATAATGATAATAGTCACCATAGCAATAAAGCTTTTACTAATATAGTTTGAAAATTGGCTTTTGATGCTGAATTCGCAGTGCGGACTTCTTTCTAAACTGAAAATATTAATTTCTGTATAAAAAAAATAAATCTTAACACCTATAGATTATGCTTGACTTCTTGAGATAGGCCTTTTATCCGAATAATATTTTTACTTTTGTTTGTGTAATTTAAAATAAAGATAATTGCAAGCACAATATACCCGTTTTTAGGCCTATTGGTTTTTCTAATATTTCGCCGGCTGTCAATCATTAAACCTTTAAAACATCATATTGCATATATAAATAACGTTTCATATAATCTTTTGTCTTTCATTTAATAAAAAAGCTTATTGGGCAATGTCTTGTGGGAGAAAAAAAGATAGATACGAAATTATATTTTTTTCACATCTCTGATTTCGAGTGGTCAAAAAATTAAGAGGAATGTGGAAATGAAAAAATAAAAACAAAAAAGGAAATGCTCAACAGCGACAGCTGTAATTAGATCTCAAATCGGTCAAGAGATGGAGCTATGGGCTAAAAGTTTGTTCTTGAAAAAAAAACAGCCGTTATGCCGCGGCTAAAAATATCTGCAGTTAACTTGTTTTTATAACAATTTTTAGGCCTGTTGGTTTTCCAATATGCCGGCTTTTGACATTTAAACTGTAATATTATATAAACACCAGAGGACAGGTACGTCACATGACCACTAAAGACAGATATATTATGTAATCACAAAAGGGCAGATATATTACTCAACTAAATATTTCCAAGTAAAAGTGTATTCTAATAACAATCAAAAATACCAATTCACAAAGAAATGTCAATACTTACAGCTTCGCCTTTACATTCTTCATGTTTTCCTTTAATTTTTTCCGTGATCTGTAAAACGATTGTCAGTAAGAATTGACTTTTTATAGAATAAATTTCAGATATATTAGACAAACATTATCAATGGTTTAAGTGAAAATTAGAAACCCCTGAAAATGTAGACTATGCATTGACTTTTTTTAACAATGAATATGAAGGATTATATATATACGTAATCATGAAAAATCCATGACACGTCACATCAGGATAATCTAAAAGTGATTGGAAGATAATATAAATAAGGACTGAATTTTGGGGAGCTTCTTAAATGTATGGATCTGTTATAAAGTAAAACATACTAGCTAATCATCACATATTGTGCAGCATAACCACTCATTAAATGGGTCTTCTTATGTAATTTTTGAAATAATTAACCAATAACACTTACGAAAAGTTTAAAATAAACTTAATCCAGGTTCGACTGTTTGTTTGTTTCGGAATTTCGCGCAGATCTAAACAAAAGGTATCTGCACATAGTTACCCCTCATTTTGAACTGGTACAGTAGAGGAAGGTAGCTAGCCAATAACACCTCCCTCCAATTCTCGGGCTTCTCTTGTCAGATTAAAAACTAAGATTTGGCCCGTTATCCTTTTAATGCGACCACGGCCCCAAAGTGCGGAGCTCGTTTCTGCGGAAAAGGGACAGAAACCATGAATCCCAGATTCATAGACCGGGCACTCTAGCTACTAGGCTATATCTAGCGTCTGAACTCAGGATGATCTGGGATACAGGAACTAGAAGCTAGGCTAAAACTATGTTGAGGGAAGCTAGGCTAAAACTATGTTGAGGGAAGCTAGGCTAAATCTATGTTGAGGGAAGCTAGGTTAAAACTATGTCGAGGGTACTTTTTAATATCCTTGTTGGTCTGCAACGACAAAATCTAACATAATCACTTCCAGAACCTAATCTCAGCTGTATATCATTTCTTATATATATATCTTAAACCAACAGGTGTTTGGTCAATTTTCCGCCATTTTGAACGCATGTTCTAATATTTTTTAATACTTATGTTAATAAAATACAGATTGAAATATACGTGACTGTATAAACCATGTCTTATATGCATAACGACTACTAACTGTAAGTAATTTCAAATATTACCTCAGGATTCAGTGCCTTCTGCTCGATCTCAGTCTTGGCTCTGTCAAACTTGTATTTATTGTTGTCATCAAACTGTAACGAAATCAACCAATTAACACGTGTTTCTTACGTCAACAATAGGAACTAAACTAGTCCTCACCGAGGTTAAACCTTGCATGAATTAGGTTTATAGAATAAAATGCGAGTCGTGATAAGTAGATTTTCTTTTTATTTCTCAAATCACCTTGAATAATTTTTACTTAATATTAGATTATAAAAGGAGCTAAATGGAATAAGAATACATTTATCATAAACCTCAAATTAACGACGTACTCCAACAGTGTTGTCCACATATCGCAACAAATTGAATAATCCTATATTTTTGATTGTTACAACATCTAACGTAAAGATTCAAACAATTTGATGAAACCGTTTATTTTCTTAAAAACAATGTAAGGGGGACCTTAGCAACAATTAGTGAGACTAATTGTACTACTGATAATATTCTTGTTTATATTTTAGAGTTTTGCGTAACTAAAATGTTACTTGGGAACCTGTAACCAACAAAGCCATGGACCCATAACCAATTAGATGTAGGATTGGTTTAGAAAAATTGACCCCCATCGGGTCTACAATTAAGTCCAATAAAATTATGACGATTACAACTTCTTGAGTTACTGATATCACGAACAGAAACAATTTTTAATAAGAATCTCCGCTGTTATTGTTAAAACTAGAGGTAACAACAGTATATTCGAACAACAGGGGGTCTTCTTACCCATCCTTCCGTTTTCAGAGCACACGTGGTGATATCGGCATGATGTTTTTCCAACACTTCCTAAATATAAATATGCATTTTTGTTAAAATAATCTTATTATTAATAATGGTATTTATACTTTATATAATCTCTCTCTCTTAGTACATTGATCTTCTTGATTAAATTACATTATTTTATCATTTAATCGCGATAAAGTCAAGGAAACTGCGATAATTCAACTATCTTTATATACGATACACGGTACACGATTTTTTTATTACAGATCAAATTAAAGTTTAATAAGTCTGTAAATTACAATATTTATCAGTTTACACTAAATGACTAAAATATTGGTCTTTTTGATTTGTGAATTTTTGCTCAAGTGAATTATACATTACTAAAATGTTTATGTCCAAAGTAAGAACGAAACAGAACTATTAACAACGTTAATTATTAATTTAATGTTTTTTTTATGAAAACTAATTGTCTTTACATGCCATGAAACATCAAGAATTTTTTTTTCATCCTTGTAGAGATAATGGGGGTCATGACGGCGACCAAAGCCCAGACGCAGGGTCGTCTGGTAAATCCGTCTAAGAAACACTATACTAATAGTTTAACGAAAAATAAATCAATGTATATCAATATCTATGAGTAGAATGTATTCAAAGGAGTTGAATAAATCTTATTTAAATTTTAACAAAATCAAATCTTACTGGACTAGGCTCATCTTCAGGCTTCGGTGGAGGATTCTCCTTCAGACAGTTAGCAATCACCGTTTGCTTTTTTGACTAAGAGTAGAAACAAAATAATTATTGTTGGGTTTTAAATTCTTAATAACAACTTAAATGAAGAGTATTAGATATTGGTATAGCTGACATATTGTTTTGATGGCAAGAGATTCGTTGACTCATTTTTAATTCATCACAAAGTCATCATCAGAAAAGTGTAACGAATTAAACTAACTATGATACAATATAAGGAATGTTCATATTGATTTAAATTCCCAGTAACACGTTTATTTAAGAATAGTGGATACTAATAGTTGACATATTGATTTAAATACCCAGTAACACGGTTATTTAAGAATATTGGACACTAATAGTTGACATATTGTTAAATTTAAATTCCCAGTAACACGTTTATTTAAGAATAGTGGATACTAATAGTTGACATATTGATTTAAATCCCCAGTAACACGGTTATTTAAGAATAGTGGATACTAATAGTTGACATATTGATTTAAACACCCAGTAACACGGTTATTTAAGAATAGTGGACACTAATAGTTGACATATTGTTATTTAAATTCCCAGTAAAATTTAAATTTAACAATATGTCAACTATTAGTGTCCAATATTCTTAAATAAACGTGTTACTGGGAATTTAAATTTAACAATATGTCGACTATTGGTGTACAGTATTCTTAAATAAACGTGTTACTGGGAATTTAAATTTAACAATATGTCAACTATTAGTGTCCACTATTCTTAAATAAACGTGCCTAGTAATTTAATTTCTTTGAGGTAACAATGCTTATAGCATATTTGTATAAATGTATTCAGACATTTGAACTATTTTTGTCGTTACTTGTTTCAGATATTCGCGCAAAGCTACACAATGACTATATGTGCTAGCCGTCCCAAATTTTGAACCGATAGACTAGAGAGGAGGCAGCTAGCCAACAACACCCACCGCCAACTCTTGGACTACTCTAATAGAATAGTGAGTTTTGACTGTCACTATTATAACACATCTGTAGCAAAGTGCGGAGCGCGAACTTGTGGCAACAGCGCGAATTATAGACCCTCGGATTCACAGTCCAACACGCTAAACACTAGGCCACGCCCGGCCCAACTGTTCTCAAATTTAGGACATAATAAAAGCGATAATCTTACAATGAAGTGTGTCGCTAATTTTAAAAGATATTCCAGCGTAGCATCTGGGTATATGTTCCAAACATTAACTTTTTTTGTATATAATATTCTATGGTTGTTTATAGAGGGTTTGCGATAATACTTCGTTACAGATTATCATAGCGATATAAAAGTTATTTTTGTTTTTATCTACGATGATGTTTTTAGTTTAACAATATATTTAAGTATATATAAATATGTAAGTAACTTATCAATTATTAACCTGCTAGCAAATTCAAAATATCTTTATAACTGAGCACAGATTTTTTTTTCCGTTAGGGGGCGAGTTTCAATACGTGCTACACTTAGACCTCTTAATCTCTAGGTCTAACCTCAAACTATCCTACCTTCTCCTCTTGTGTTGGTTCTAGCTGAGGGCACTCTCCCCAGTTGATTTGCTGTATAACAAAAATGAAATAAAATATTAAATCATATTAATTCCCAAACATGAAACTGTGAATTTTACTTATCACAATATTATACTTCGCGCAGTATAGCTTTGAATTTTATTTTTAAACTACTCATTTAGTTGTTTTTCCACCCATACATCAAGGGGTCCTATTTTGTGTTTAAGTATTTTGCATTCCTAGTGACCAAATGAAATTGAAATTACATGACAGCAATTTAGGCTTTGTATAAATGAGTAGATAAATTAGAAAGTAGGTAAATTCAGCCACATTTCAAACTTTTATGTGTGTTTATTTATAGAAATTACTGGCTCATTTACGACCCTACTGCAAAATCACAGAATTTTTTTCTGAAAAGTGTGAAATCAGTTGAAAAAGTTGAACTCAGTATTATGTAAATACATGCAATAATTAAAATACAAACGAATTTAAATTTAATGAATTCTAGAGAAGCTCATTGTGTGTGAACGTATTTATTTGAAATGTATTTTGAGAACGCCTTGCTCCGATCTAATATTTCACAAAAGCTATATGAACGTATATTGAAGAAAGAGCTGAAGGTAGAAGAGCATTGACAACTTAAGTGTTCGATATCTTCACTAGTATTTCCCAAGAAAAGGTTGATGGAATAAGAATTTGTATTTTGTATTTATGGCACAACTACTCGTTTCCTGCTACCACTCCCCTACTGACCAGAGGGTGGGTAACGCGTCAGCACCATCCTACCGCCACCATACATGCTAAGGAATTGAATGTCACTCCTATAACGCACCCACAGCTTAAATGGTGGGGAGTGGTATCGTACGGATTAGAACCTGGTTAGCCAACTCCAAAATCTAGAGCTTTGCTACAGGGCTAACCCACGCCCTGACATAACTTTAAATTAATTAATTAATTGTGGGAAATTACTCTGAATTATTACAATTCTAACACGTATAAGCTACACATCAGGAACGTCTAATTAATATTTGTCTCACGATTTTTGTACTATAGTTAGGCCATGCTAAAAATTAATTACATGTTTGTTTTAGAGCAAAGCCACATTAGACTATCTGCTGTGTCCACCGCGGAATATCAAATCCCGAATCTTAGTGTTGTAAGTCCTAAAACTTACCGCGGTCCCACCGGGGGACAAATATCAAATAACGTAAAATTTAGTTTTTCTTTTCAATAGGCGCAGGCTGAGAGCCAGAGTAGAACACCATTATGTCCATATCTTATTAGATGTACCACACTGGTCTTTCCAGTTATATCTTATGAAAGCATTTATATATATATAAGCTTTTATTATTTTTTTGTTAAAGAGTGATTTACCATTAACCAACTTTCTTGTTATTTTGGTATTCGAAATTTTTGTTTTATAAGAACAATGTTGTGCGAACACTTTACTAAGGAAGGGCGTTAATCTAAAGCTTAACCGATTTGTTTTTGTTTTTCAACGGCGACTAGTCTTGCACACAAACATACAAAATGTAAATATGTGAGGCGTGAACTGTTGAAGAACAGACACAAACTGGACCCAGAGTTACCAGTCCAGTTTCTGGTTTTGGGACTGGGCGATACGGTAGCCTGTCTACACCTGACGTTTCGTCGACAACCAGTATCGTAGTTGTATCAGTGCTCGAGTCCCCCAAAAATCTAGTGCCCCAGTTATTTTATCCTGTGAGATCAACCAATGTGAAAGTAGAAAGACTGGTCAGACTTGAAGCGTTTTCGTTTGAAATCTCGTGCAAAACAAAGTTTAGAATTACACTAAAGAAAATAGGTCTGGAATCAATGAGGTCGGTGGCTCAGAAACACCTTGTTTCCTGGTGCACCGTACGATGTATTAACGTCAAACTAGTTGTTCAAAAAGTGACGTAAGTCGATATTCAGCAACCTTTTCACAAGAAATATCCGGTGATAGGCATTTCTACCATCAGGTAGTATAGTTTACGGGCAACAACATTACAAACAATTGAAAGACAACTTATTCAGCAAGTCTATGAAAAATGGTCAGCATGAAATAGATTTGTGAAATATAAAAAAAAAATTAAAGGTTTTCACATACCACAGAGGCTGAAGGGTTACCTAAATACCAGTTTTATGAAAAGTACCTAACGTGATGAAACGTTCCACAACTTTTTAGTTAAGTGTTAATAAGGCAGTGAAAATATCTAACATGACAAAACGTTCCACTACTTTTTAGTTAAGTGTTAATAAGACAGTGAAAATATCTAACATGACAAAACGTTCCACTACTTTTTAGTTAAGTGTTAATAAGGCAGTGAAAATATCTAACGTGATGAAACGTTCCACTACTTTTCAGTTAAGTGTTAATAAGGCAGTGAAAATATCTAACATGATAAAACGTTCCACTATCTTTCAGTTAAGATGTTTATTTTTTATGTTTAGAATACGAATAAGACCTGCTGATATGTCACTAGTGTCTGTATATTTTAGTCCTCTGCGTGAAATGTTCTCATTTCTAAATCTTTGTGCTTTAGGTAATACGTGGGCTTATTAGCCTACCTTGTCGTGCTTTGGGTAATACGTGGGCTTATTAGCCTACCTTGTCGTGCTTTGGGTAATACGTTTTCGTATCTGGGTAAACTAGTGCTCTCTATGGTAAGTTTTCCAGCCTGATAATATTATAGTGGTTTTCATCGTACGTTTTTTCTTTGAATGCCTTACATTGCTCTGTGTGCCATGTTTTTGGGCAATTTAGTGCCCTGTGTGTTATGTTTGCCTGCTTATGTTTAAATACCTAACAGTGCTTTGTATCGTAATTTTCTGTCTGAATACCTTACAGTGTTCTGGGTAGCAAACTTTCAAGTCTTAAGTTAATCAGTTCTTTTTGTGGGACGTTTTCTTTTCTCAATATCTGAGTGCTTAGTGGATATTGTCCACTTTTATACTGCTTAGTGGATATTGTCCCCTTTTATAGTGCTTAGTGGATATTGTCCACTTTTATACTGCTTAGTGGATATTGTCCACTTTTATAGTGCTTAGTGGATATAGTCCACTTTTATACTGCTTAGTGGATATTGTCCACTTTTATACTGCTTAGTGGATATTGTCCACTTTCATACTGCTTAGTGGATATTGTCCACTTTTATAGTGCTTAGTGGATATTGTCCACTTTTATAGCGCTTAGTGGATATTGTCCACTTTATAAAAGCTCTAATGTTTTAAACATTAAATAGCTTCTCTGAGCATCTTATGGAGTTCTAAGTAATGCGTTGCGTGTCTAGATACCAAAATGCTCTGCGTAGTATGTTTGTACGAAGCTTTAGTACTCTGGATAGTATGTTTGTATGAAAGTTTTAGTGCTCTGGATAGTAAGTATGTTTGTACGAAGCTTTAGTACTCTGGATAGTATGTTTGTATGAAAATTTTAGTGCTCTGGATAGTAAGTATGTTTGTACGAAGCTTTAGTACTCTGGATAGTATGTTTGTATGAAAATTTTAGTGCTCTGGATAGTAAGTATGTTTGTACGAAGCTTTAGTACTCTGGATAGTATGTTTGTATGAAAATTTTAGTGCTCTGGATAGTAAGTATGTTT